CTGTAGCTAAGAAAGTGCCAAACCACACACCACAGGCAAATAGCCAACTTAGCAACCAAGGTCTAACACAGGACTTGGCACACAGGAATTACTGAAAAAATATTTTTGGACTACAGAGATCTCTACTAATATGCCAAGTACATTCAAGTCTGAGGGGAAAAAGTAAAAAGAAACTTTCAAATGGTAGAATGAACTTTCATGCTCATATAAATTTATTTCACACCATAAACTGGCTCCACAAGTAATATTATTTCCAAACCAGTAACATTTTTTTATGTTCCCCTCCAAAGGCATATATAAGATAATCAAGAAGGCTCAATTTTAGGGAAAATAAATGACTTTAAAAAAGTATTGGTCTTTGCTTATGCCTCTAATCATACTACTATAGAAGAATAGATATATAATGTTATATAATTACCATATTCTTAAATCATAATCTACTGTAATTTTCTATTTAAATATAGAAAAGGGAAAGAAAAATATCATCTACAGTAATAATATTCAGACAGCCACCACTTAGTAAATTTCTTTACAGTCATTTTTCTTTGTATAGTTATTACTTTTACATGATTGTGATCATACTGTATGAATACTTTTGTATCCATTTTTTCCAATAAATATTACATTGAGATTCTGCTGTATAATTAAGAGAATATCAAATTCAAAGTCAAACAATATGTACAAGTCATAGGAATTCTGGCCTTCACTCAATCTCCATTCTGAGAGTTGGAATAAATAAAGTTCCCTCCATTTATTTAATAGGTGTTTACTACAGATGCCTATTTTCTGCCACATGGGGGGCTGAAATATATAAAGAAAACTAAGCCAGAGTTCTTGTTCTTCAAGAGTTCTCAACTCAGCAATTACCTTCTGCCTTTATAAAAAATGGGCTTATCTATGTGAGTTTAAAGGTAATGAGATAAATACTCAAAATTTGGCTATTTTTAACTTCACTCTTTTGAGGAAAATTGCTATGTACACAAAGATTTATCTCAGACAACAACTGAGGTTTTCCACATTTGATATGGCTGTATTCTTATCTTACAGGTGAAAGAGCTGTAATTCTTTTACTCATTTTATGACATGTATTTTCAACATTTATTGCAATTAGTACTCTTTATTGGTCTTGAGATCATTTGTGTTTTAGAAGCCAATATAAGAAATTTCATTTCCTCAAGATGTAAATTTTCAGATTATTCATCATACTTCCCCCCCATCCTACCTATTTGCATGATGTATTTGTTTATGTGCAGGTAAACAATCACAGCCTAGAGGTAGAGGATGTAAGGCAACTGGAATGATCCACATGCACCTGGAACTATTTGCACTATATGCAAAATATAACAGTTGTATCTGACTTTACTTCTCTAGAAAAACTTAAGCCCTCCTTGTTGGTAATTTCCTTTGCTATTTTCCAGTTCAGTCTAGTTGCCTAAACGGTGTCTCAAGGAATGAAATAAGAAATAAAACAAGCTAGTGAGTCATAATTTCAAAACCTCTGAAATACACCTCAAGTGGTAATGAGTGGCAGCTGCACTTAACAGTCAGAAAATCCATCCTCTATTTGAGGATCCGCCACTTACTAGTCATGTGAGTGTTAGCAAGTTGTCATTAACGTGAGCCTCAGTTTTCTTATCCATAAAATAGGGCTGGCAACACTCTCACCATACTTAGAGCATTACTGCATTACTGTTGCAACGCAAATCTTTGTAAAAATGTAAAACACTACCTAAGTGTTGGGAATTAAGTCTAAAGATCATTAATTTATAACCAATTCCTAAAAAGCTCAGTATAATCAAGTTTTATTTTTTGAAAGGCTCTGTCTGTTCCCTTACATTTACTTATACATTGTCATAAAAGTTTTTAGGAGAAAGGTATTGTGTTTTTCAGAAAGATAGCACCTGTAGTTTGTTGAAAGGGGTGGTGCTGTTACCAAGGAGCTGTGGGAAGAAGGCTCCAGAGACATGTTTAGGAAAGAGAAAAAGAGAACTAGGGCAGCAAAACAAATTGGACAGTAACTTGAGTTCCTCTTATTTTCAGACTGGGTTTAATGTGGAGACATGCCTACTATTCTATGTCTCTACACAGAGAACCTAAAAAGCTGATAGGATGTAGATCCTTCAGAGTATTCCAATAGTTTTAGGGCTTTAGGTGGGAAAGAGTCACTAATGATTTTAACCCCTGGAGACTAAAATGATTTTGTTTGCCTATGTTTTTCCATTAATAAGACAGCTAGCTAGGTCCCTAATTGCATATGTTTATATCAGACCTCCCAGAAAGCAGGAATCTACCTACTATCACTGAAAATAACACTGGTACAGGAACTACTGTCTCCAAAGATCTAGCAAGCAGTAAAAAACAATACTTTGATATGTTATGTTTTGCTACTATCCTACAGAAAATACACATGCTTTATTAACATCTGAGTGGAGAATTATTCTGCCTCAACTGAAACTTACATGGAGTGGGGGGAATCTCTGTCTTAATGTACTTATTTTGACCAGTAAAAGCACTATCAGATTCTAGTATCAGAGTCCCAAGGCACCATGAATCAACAGATATAGTATAGATTCTCTCAAATAAAATAAAAATAGCAGCTGCCTCCCTAGCCTGAATACCTACCATGAGTCTGTCAAAAATTCTTTTTAACACCTTGCTCCTTCTTTTTTTCACTTAACTCTCTGTCCCCTTAGCACATACCTGTCTCTCTCCTTCTCCCCCTCCCCTTCTCTCTCTCTTTACATCATAGTATTCCATTATGTAGATGTACCCTAGTTTCTTCAAATACTCCCTAATTGCTGGACATCGTTTGTTTCTAATCTTTTGCTATTATGTACAATCTTCAATGAATACTATGTTTACTTGGGTTGAACCTATCCACAGAATAGATTTCTAAAAGTGACCTTGCTTGGTCAAAGGGCAAAATGCATCTGTAATTTTGGTAGATAGTGCCAGTTTCTGTTCCATCGGGGTTGTGCCATTTTGCACTCCCACCAAATGTGTAAGTACTTACTTCCTGAAGACCATTTATAAAAACACATATGCCTGGATTCCACCCCCAAATTCTGACTCAGTAGATAAGGGATCAGGCCTGAGCAGGCCTATCTTGAAAAGGCTCTCCAAACAGCATATCCCTAGTTGAGAATCCATTCTACAAAGTACTCTAGTCTTGTTTACATTGTTCAAATCCAAAAGAAAATCAGACTTAACTCTTTACCCTTCACGGTTTATACCCCATGTCACTCATTCAATAAATATTTTTTGAATACCTATTATGTGCTGTTCATTCTAGATGTCGAGGATATAAAGATAAATAATAGTATCTATCATTGGAGTTTGCAGGGTCTATCAACGAGAGACATCAATATATAACTAAGAGATAATGTACAAGCATAATGTTAGAGATTTACATAGAATTTTATGGGAATACTGAAGAGGGGTACTTCATCCTGACAGAATGCCAGAGGAGTCTTCTTGAAGGAGGTGCTCCTAGAGCTGAGTAGGAATTAACCAGGTGAAAAGAGGAAGTGGTATACAAGGAGAGGGCATTCTAGGTAGAAAACAACATAAGCAAAGTTAGGAAGAAAGAGACAGAAGGGATGTGGATGTACCTGGTAATATTTCATATTGCTAAAGTATAAAATACAATAAAGTAGTGTGCAATAGGCTGCAAAAGTGGACAGAGATCAGATCACTGGACATGTATTTTATCATGTTAAGATGCTTGACGTTATTCTAGAGGCAAAGAAAATCACTCATGGGTTTTGAAGTTGGGAGTGACATGATCATATTGTTGTTTTAAAATTATGGACAATGGACTGAAAGGGCACATAACTGGAAAAAGAAAGAACAGTCAGGAAACTGGTATAGTAACTCAGGGGAAGGCTTGAATTAGGACAGGGATTAAGGAGAAAATGGACTGAAGGAGCCTTAAGAGGTAAAATGAACAAAATGTAGATATTACATAGGGGTGGAGGTAAATAAAGGGATGATTTCAACGTATTATCAAACCATTCCCAGCAAAGCACTGGATTTAAGCTATTTTTTCAGCAGCAGTGATAGGTTTACACTGGTTCAGTCATATTCTCTCACTTGGTCTTGATATTTGTATGGCCAGGGATAGATGTATGGGGCCCAGCAAAATGCTCAGGGTGAACTGGTGAGCTCCTTCTTTAGCATCATGTTCTAATCAGCTAAGTAAAGCAACCACAGGCAACCCCAACAGGCAAACATAACATTACGTGGTCTTATCTCTGATGCACCCTTTCTTTTTTTTTTAATTTATTTTAATTTATTTTTTATTGTTTTTCGAGAGAAGGAGAGGGGGAGAGAGATTCTTAAGCAGGCTCTACGCCCAGCCCGGACATCGATGCAGGGCTTGATCTCATGACCCTGAGATCATGACCTGAGCCAAAAGCAGGAGTCAGACGCTTACCTGACTGAGCCTCCCAGGCACCCCTCTGATGTACCCTTTCTTACAATAACTCCTCTACTGGTGAGGCTCTTGACTCCATTTTTCTCTATGCCTCTGTAGTCCGTGACCAAGGTAATTGCTGACAATATAAATAACTGCTAGTACAGGGAACAATGTGTGGTTGAGGGGCAGCAGCATGAACAGCTGCTTTCCCAAAACTTAATCCAAAGCCAAGCTTCACAATACTAGCAATGCATTTTGGGCAGCCTACAGTTCTGCCACCAAATAAGGTCAATCTCTGGAGTTGAGAAGATATGGGGACAGTCCCCTCTGAACCCTTCCCATTTCCCTGATTTATGCAAGTATAATGGTCCTGTGAGAATGGACCAGGAGAAGGTTGGGTGTAATCCATACTAACCCTGGTACTTGTCTTCTTCTCAGAGTTCCTAAAAACAAACTGAAAGGAAACCAAAACCTAAAAATCATCAGATGAAAACAAGTTCACTGTTTAAAGAGTCCATGAATGAAACACACACACACACAGAAACATACAAATACACACACAAAGAGTAACACCAAGGCTTACCTTTCTTTTATCTTCATCTGTTGATTCAAATTTGAAAGTAGCCCTATGCTGAGGGGGAAAAAAGGGAAACAATGTCATTTTAAATACACAGATTTTTAATTTTGGTTATGTTTAAAAATATATCTGTAAAAGTGTTGCCTTCCTACGTTGTTTCAACGCTCATATTAAAGGAAGATAGGTATGTAAGTAAATATATAGCAGTGTGAAAGACTAAAGCAGTGGGGAACCTGGGTGGCTCTCAGTCATTAAGCGTCTGCCTTCAGCTCAGGTCATGATCCCAGGGTGCTGGGATCGAGGCCCGCATCAGGCTCCCTGCTCTGTGCGGAGCCTGCTTCTCCCTCTTCCACTCCCCCTGCTTGTGTTCCCTCTCTCACTCTCTCTCTGTTAAATAAATAAATAAAATCTTAAAAAAAAAAGAAAGACTACAGCAGAAAAACAGACAAAAGAACGGAGTACCAAGCCACTAACTCTGCCTGAGGAAATCTGGAATGCTTTGCACAAAGTATAGAGCATTTGAGCTGGATATTGGAGGATGAGTAGGAGTTTGCCAGGAGGCAAATGGAAAGCATTCTAAGGACAGAAACAAAGGCTCAGATGTGTGAAATGGTATGATATAATTGTGAAATAAACAGGTCTGTCAGAGTGAAATATAGGACACATGTGAGGGGATGAGGGAGTGGAGAAAGAGGAGAATGGAAAAATAAATTGGACAGAAATTTGGAAGGGTCTTCCAGTATCGCTAAGACCCAATGTTGCTTTCTTTTTCACATGCAGTTAGAAATAATCAGAATTGTAGACAGGAAAGAAATTTGATAGATTCGTATTTCAGAAAAGTAATTCTTTAAAAATTAAGGTTTAAATTATGGCTCCACCACTAACTAGTTGAGCAAGTAACAAAATCTCTATCACTGGATTTCTCTTGTGAAAAGAGGTGGTACCTAGTTCACAGAGCTGCTGTGAGGGTTAAAATAGCTAAGGCATATAACCTACCATCTCAGTGCCTGGCGCTGAGTAAACACTCAGTAAATATAAGGATTATAATGATGATAATGCCATGATATTGACAAAAAAATAATTAGAAGAGAACAGAGTGTCATGACTCTCCAAATGATTGGCAACACTGTATTTTCCACTCTGTAGCTAAAACAGAGGACAGAGTAAGTTACCTTGCCCACTGTCACAGAAACAGTGATAGTACCCAAAAACAGAACACAAATCTTCTCATTCTCTTTCTCAGGTTTTATTCAGGAGAACCAAGTGCTCTTATGAATCCTAAGTTTTCCTTTAAAAAAATCACTGAACATCTCTGCCCTTCTTTTGTATTTTTCTCATTGGCCACACTGACATTTACTGGCAACTCATCAGGAGTTGCCAAAGCACTAAAGATATCGTCATTACAGGTGGTTCTGTGTTGTCAGCTTTGTAGAAGAAGCAATTTTTGAAATTAAATGAGATGGAGAAATGTTGACAGAGAAGCAGTTCTTAATTTAAGAAATGGTCGGGGGAAGACTTAGAGGTAAGAGAGAAGGGCTGTTTGAGGAAACTCAAGAGAGGCTGCCTCACATACGGTTTGTAAAACAATTAAAATGGATGATGTCAGGTGGTAAGAAGGGCCTGAATTTAAAAATTTATACCTGAACTGCCAGATAGGTGACAGGCAACTAAAGGAAGACTCTGAGGGAGGTGTGAACGGTAGAGCATTCTGGAAGAATATTTTGGGCAGCTGCTTACAGGCCAGATCAAAGGAGGGCAAGACTGAAGACATAAAGCCTTCTAAGAAATGGGCATCAATAATCCAGGTGTGATATTGCTGACAGCAGTATAAACTGACATAAACTCTAAAAGTGAAAGTAATTTGGCAACATATACTAGAAAACATAAAAATATTCACATCCTTTGACCCAGAACTTCTATACTCCTAGGAATTTATCCTAATGAAATCATTCAGAAGGAGAGAAAAATTATATATGTAAGCATATTCACTGCAGTGTGATCTAATATTATGGAAGAAAGAAAGACACGATCTGAAAATCCAACAACAGGAGACGGATGAAATAAACTGCTGTGCATCCACCTGATAAAATATTATATTGCAATTAAACCAAAAGATGGCTAAAAATCTCTGTAACAACATGGAAAATTACTTATAATGGCATCAGATGGAAAAATAGTAAAACACCACGCTAGATGTCTCTTATACAGCACCTGCATAAGTATATGGATGCATTTGAACAAAGGCTTGAGTGTTAAAATGCAAAAATAAAAGCAACTGTACAGCGGTGGTAGGATTTCTGGTGAGGTCTGACAAAATTCATCGTTGGTATATTATTCTTATAATTAAAAAGGAAATTTAAAAAATAAAAGATAAATGAATAAATGAACAAGGAAAGAAAGAAAAGAGAAAGGAAGAACAAGTTGTAAATCTGAAGTCTATAATGCAGGAATTCATAGTGAGGTTTAATAAAAACTAACTTTAGATAGAGAAGCAGCAGACATCAGGCTAAGGTTGTGAACTGGACTTAATAAAAGTCCAATACAAATGAAAATAAATTGCAGAGACCAAGAAAGCTGATTTTGTTGCCATTATATGTGAAATATTAAATCCATAAATTATCTGGAATAAATGAACCTAGTTGCCAATATAATGGTTCTCCTAAACTTTTTCTGGCATTTGTGGTAAAGGAACAGAGAAAGAAATCCCCTTTTGGAAAGACCCTCATTAAGTTATAAAAATACCTTTTAAACAGTTTCTACATAGAATTTATCTTTTAAGGTGATAATTTAGAGTAGTACCAAGGACTAAATTTTCTGTTGCTTTTAAATGCAAGGCTGATCTGGTCATAAAACCACAACATTAAAAAAGAAAGAATAGCTTTCAAAAGCCCTAACACAAGTGCTTAATTTAATTAGAAAATATACTGGCATGTGAGGCAATACAAATTGAATTTTGAATGTGCCAATCTATTCAGAAGCTCAGCCCTCTAAGACTGTTTAGATCCAAAGATGTTGGCTTCTCTAAGGCTGGTTTCTTTTACACAACTTAGATTGTACCTAATCTATTCAGTACTTCTAGCTCTTATTCTATACCCTTTCTAAGGCTGAAAGGGAAGGGAAGGGGAGCCAGCATTTCTGGCTGTAAATACCTTTATAGCACTGCTAGCCAACAGTCAACCACCTCACCTTCTTTATATGCTTAATTTCCAGATGAACAGGAGCAACAAGTCAAATATAAACTAAAGAGTAAAACCATTGTTCAGTTTAGAGACCAAGTAAACTAGGAACAGCTCAGTGACACACCAGACTTAAGAGGACTCCACCACATAGGTTTTGTATCCTATGAGTAGGCTCTAAAAAGCTCAGGCTTAGGAGTCAGACAGCACTGGGTTTGAGTACAGTCCTGCTGTTTATTAGAAGTGTGACCTTGGTCAAGTTATTCAACTTTACTACCTGTCAGAGTTTCCTTATCTTTTATGTATGGCACCTTGCACATAGCAGGTGTTCAGTAAGTGGCCACTACTGCTTTTATAGCATGGCCTATGATGTGGCATCTAGCCAAATACTGACCTATTAGAGAACTAGGAGTTATTTCACATTGTAGAAAATACACTCAAACAGTACTCATACAAGGGAATTAGCCTACTGGGGTGGTGTGTGTATGTGTGTGTGTTCTGCTGTGTTTCATGAATAGAGATTATTCCTAGAACTAAATGCCAGAGATTATATAATCCAGTCTGGAAACAAGAACAAGGTATAACAAAGGAACAGCTCACTAAACATGCTCCTCTGCAAAAATCTGTGGAATGAGCTCAAAGAGTCAGAACTCCACCTCCCAAGTGGAAAGCAAAAAGTCCTCTGACCTGGTCCAGCGTATTTACATACTCTTTTCAAATGTGTAGCCTGTATTTCTAGAACTGTCTCAATATTAGGTCCCTATCAATCAGGTCCTTCTAGCACATAAATGAAGACCTCACAGCGATCAGTATCATTTTCCTCTCTTATGAGGACTACTCTTGGGAGACCTACCTACTTGCCTGTATTTTAGATAACTTTTATCTTTAATTTGGTCATAAATTTGCCCTACTTCCAAAATGGAATCCTGTTGGAGATTGCTATGGGGTAATCATAAGCCCAGGTAGTCTCTATGGCCACTAAGCCATCTCTCTATCATCATAATTGATGACTCTAGGCCTCAGTTTCTTCACCTATTAACTGAAGGGGACAGATCTAATTGCCTTTGAGATTCCTTCTAGTCTAAATATCGTCTGATTCAAGGAGCTAAGATACTACTGCACATCTCGGGGCCCTTGATCACTGTTTGTTCTGATAATCATAATGATGGCAACCAATCTCTCTACTATATATATATTTTTTAAGATTTTATTTATTTATTTTGACAGAGAGAGAGAGCGAGCGCGCGCGCACGCGAGCATGAGCTGGGGCCGGGGGTGGGGGGAAGGGAAGGGGCAGAGGGAGAAGCAGACTCCCCACTGAGCAAGGAGCCCAATGCAGACCACGAGAAGGAGGTAGGGGTAGAGTTATGTAGCCACAAGCCAAAGGTAGAAGCTGAAAAGGAAATATTCTCCCCTAGACCCTTCAGAGGGAGCAGGACCCTGCTGACACCTTGATTTTGGATTTCTGGCCTCCAGAACACTGAAAGAGTAAATTTCAGTTGTTTCAGGCTACCAAGTTTGTGGTAATTTGTAACAGCAGACCTGGAAAACTAATACATTCTATTTACATTTATTGTGATAAATAGCACAGTTGGGTTTATTTATATTTAAACATCTCTTTTTGTGTTTTGTTTACCATCTTTTTTTAAAAAAAGACTTTGAGAAAGAGAGTGAATGAGAGAGAGAGAGAGAGCAGAAGCAGGGGAAGGGGCAGAGGAAGAAGGGGAAGCAGGCTCCCTGCTGAATAGGGAACCCAATGTGGGGCTTGATCCCAGGACCCTAGGATCATGACCTGAGCTGAAGGCAGAAGCTTAACCAACTGAGCCACCCAGGCACCCCTCTACTAAATCTGTTATCAGAACAGGCCTTGAAGGAGGAGGAGAAGGAGGCTGGACAGCCTATATTAGAACAATCCGTATGTCCCATAATTAATAGCTCATTCTATAACTGGAGTGGAGGTGATTAGGACCGAACAGTAACCAAAGGAAGTAGTGTATTGGTCCTGAAAACCTTTTTTTTTTTTTTTTTTTAAGATTTTATTTATTTATTTGAGAGAGAGAGAATGAGAGACAGAGAGCATGAGAGGGAGGAGGGTCAGAGGGAGAAGCAGACTCCCTGCCAAGCAGGGAGCCCGATGCGGGACTCGATCCTGGGACTCCAGGATCATGACCTGAGCCGAAGGCAGTCGCTTAACCAACTGAGCCACCCGGCGCCCCGGTCCTGAAAACCTTTTTCTCTTCTGTGCTCAAAAACACAGAATAGACAGGGTAAAGGCAACATGACCTTGCAAAAAGAGCCTGGATATGGAATCTAAAGACTAGGTCTGCCACTTCTAGCTATGTGCCCTTGAGCCCATAGATAGTCACTTTGTCTTTCTGAACCTCAATTTCCTATTCCCCGCCAAAAGAGAATACTTATATCTCCCTCATAAGTTTTAATGTAAGAGAATTATATGTGATGACATGTGAAAATGCTTGGGATAGATAATACGTAGTACATAGCAAGCACTCAGTAAAGGTTAACAGGTGAATTGAGACAAATGAAGAAGAACAACCATTTTTCCTGTTTTTTAATACTTTCCTATGCTGGGTCAACTTGCATTATGTCCTTGAGAAACAGACAAGTTTCATTTTTTCTGGGATAGATGGCTCTTCCCTCTCCCCAGAATAACAAGGGTCAGTGAATGAAGGAAGAAGGCTTGAAAATTAGTCTCAGTAATACAGTAGAAATTAGATGTTGTTACCTGGAGCCAGATAGGTAACTGTGCTCTAAACATAGTACAACATATTTTGCTACCCATTAGAAAATGTAAGGGTCAAGGAAAAAGAGAAAGGATGGAGTATACTCCCTAATTTTTTTTATCAGGCTACTTCAACTCAGTGCTACAGGTTTAACTCCTGCCTTTTTTGTTCAAAACTAACAGTTACAGGCTCTTCATTGCCAGGCACTGTTACAAGGGCTGTAGACATATAACTCATTTAATCCTGACAACAAACCTATGACGTAGGTACTATTATTGTCCCTGTTGGACAGGTGAGGAAACTGAGGCACAACAAAGTTATATAATTTGTCCTAGGACACATGGATGGTAAGTTGAAGATCAGAGTCCAGGCGGTCTGGCTCCAGAGCCTGCGCTATGGCCACAGGATCTCTTGAGTACCTTGATCATTAGAACTATAACTCACTGAGTAAAAGCCTCCTAGGTACACTGTGCTCAGTGTACAGCATTAAACTTCAGTTAATTTAAGACGCACGATAACTTAGGTAATGTTATCCCTATTTTACAGATAAGGAAGCCAAGACTCAGGCTTAAAATAACATCCATAGCCATGAAGCCAATAAAAGGCAGATTTGAACCAAGATTTATCTGACTCTAAATTCTACCTTCTTTCCAGTCTCTGGAGGGAACAGCCCATTAAACATGCTCCTCTGCAGAAATCTATGGAATGAACTCAAAGAGTCAGAACTCCACCCCAAAGTGGAAAGCAAAAGGAAAAAGTCCTCTTACATGGTCCAGGATATTTACATACCCTACTCAAATGTGTGATGTGTTTCTAGAACTGTCCCAAGTTCTAGCTTTATTAGAGAAACAAAGTAGCATAGAGAACCTCCTCCCCCAAATAACAAACGAGTCGCTTTCTCTGTACATCATTCATTTCCATTCTTGGTTAGACTCCTCGATGCCCCATAATCACCCCTTATTCTGAACATTTCTCAAATTGATTTTTCCAGATGAGGAAAATGAAGCACATGGTATTCAGCTACTTTTTCAGGGTTTCAAACTCCATATCCCATAGAGCGGGGCAATTTAATTCCACATCCCCATTTTTATTGCCAGACCACCACAATCATACTTCCCCTTCCTATTGATCTGCCTCCTAGGTCTCTCTTGCCTTGAGGGGTATAGCCCCACTGCCAACATGAACCTCAGCTATTTTCTTTGTACGCTAGCCCTACTATAATCAGCGTTAAACATGAGAGCTCTTTTCTGAAGGAGCTGACTGACCGGGTTTGAGTTAAGTCAGAGCATTATCAGGCATGGCCCAAAAAGCACTTCAGGAATACCACCTTAAATAATATACACTGGGCATTACAACTTTACAAACATTCTCAATGTGAAAGGGGAGCTGGAGATGTCCAGAACCTAAGCTCTGACAGCACTTGGCTAGGAGTGGTTAAGTGGAAACCAACCTGGAGGGAGATCAAGGAGAGGAAGAGATAAATTCAAGGAATCCAATCTGGAGTTCTAATCAGTTTAGCCATGAAGGGAAGGAGAAATATTGAAGAAACTGGTAAGATGCAGTTGGAGGTTTTTCCTCCTCCCTTCCCTAGAGAAGAAAGTTCCTATTTATTGCTGGATATCTGGCATATAGTAATTGCAAAAGAAATACTAGTTGATTCAACACTCTTTCTTTTGAAAATCAGTTGGTAGCTGCCTCAAATTCTTTTTGGAAAGGAGTTATAAATCACGTTAAATGAATATAATCTCTACAATATGTACACCTATGCCTTAAATGAATTTCTCCTAAATTAGGCAGATATGCAACAGTAAAGCATATTAGAGAGTGAAGGAGCTAAGATACAAACAGAATTTAATCCATCCATACATTCTCCAAGAAGAAAGCAGCATGGTACTGTAGAAAGAGCTGTCAGACAACCTAGATTCAAATCTCAGCCCCATCTCTCAATGACTGTGTGGGCTTGAGGCAACATTATCCTAAATGTCGTTTGTGAAATGGGGAATACCACCACTTTCCTCACAGGGTTGCTGGGAAGATTAAATGGAAGTGAAGGTGTTTTATTTCTGGATCTCCTCCACCCAGGGCAGAAATGGCACACTGGCAGTTCAATCATACAAAGTATAATAAAGTGCAGTGGTGGGGACATAGCAAACACAGAAAGGGAAACTATGAGTGGAAGCTAGTGAAAGGAAGAAAAATGCTATATCTAGGGTGAGACTTGGTGTTGAGTGTTTTCACAGGGGTGAGTAGTCAGTTATTTCTATAAAGTAGTCTTCTAAATGGAAGAATAAAGGTGTGGTATGCTACCTTTTGAAGTGAGCATGTAAAATTCCTGGAAGGAAAAGTAATGAGCTAACGGTTCTTGGAGAAACATTCAGAGAAGTGGCTGGGATTTATAACAAGATACCTTTATACTGCAGAGTTGTAAAGTGGAAAGAACAATGAATGGTTTGAAGACCTAGGTTGGAATCCCAGCTCACAAGTATGACCTTGGGCAAGTTACTTAACCGATATAGAATCTCAATTACAAAACGAAGATAAAACCTCACAGGACTGCCGTTGAGATTAAATGAGAGAATGGATGGGAAAGCTGTTAATGCGATACAAATAACAGGTATTATTCGGAGTCAGAATCTCTCTTCCCCCGCCCACTTAACAACATAGTACGTCCACGACCTTGGCATGATTTCAGTTCTTAGCGCCTCAGTTTTCTCATCTATAAAATGGGAAGGATGACACCATCTACCCTATAAACACTCTGAGAATCAAATTAGATCATATAGGAGACATCAAGCCTTGGAAAGTGTACAGTGCTATAGGTATACAAAGAACTGCCATCGTGGCTGATAGGTTTTATGCGTATCGAGGGCCGTGTTTAAGCACGGAAACACGGATTTTTCATGCTACACAGGTGAGGGAGCCTCGCGTGCATTTCTGCATCCCAGAGTGGGGCACGGGGCACAGACGCACATCTACGGATTCCGGGGGTGTGACTTGCACGCTTGGGAAGAGGACCGTAGGACAGGCTGCTGGGCCGGAATCGGAGGAGTGGGCGCCAGGGTGGGGGCAGGGGGATGCAGGATGCACGGACGGGAAAGGCTGGGGGCACAAACACGCATGCCCAAGCCGGAAACGTTTTCGGGGAAGAGCAACGCGCATCCCCGGAATGAAGGGGGTTGGGAGGGATGCGATGTGCAAGCCCCGAGGGCGGCCCGGGGGTGCTCCACCGCACGCCCGGGGCCAGGGCTCTTTACCTTATCGCTGTAATCCCTCAGGACCCGCTCGATAGCCCCCGCCTCGCCGGCCCGGACGATGTAGAGGGCGCGCTCCTCATCCATGGCCGCAGGTGCGGGGGAGCCGCGGCCGCTCTGCGCGCCCAAGCCGCTGCCTCCAGGTAAACGCCTCGCGCCCCCGCTCGCTCGCTCGTTCCCAGCTTCCTTCCTTCCCTCCTTCCCTCCCTCCCTCCTGCCTCCAACCCGCCAGCCTCCGCCCGGGCAGGGCCGACGTCACCGCCCCTCAACTTTCACCCCGCGACGTCACGGTCCCCCAGCAACCGGCGCCTCGCGGCCGCCCCCGTCAAGGCCCAGGACTCGATAGAGCCCTGACGAGCGGCCCGAGACGGGGCCAGGCCCGAGGCCTCGCTTACTCTCCTGCCTCTCCCCCCCTCGGAGAAGAGTACAGCCTTTTAAGTGGGCTCTCGCAGAGAGAACTGTTCTTCTCTCCTGACCCTCCTCTATGAATCATTCTCCTCAGCTGACGAGAGCGACCCGGCTCTTCCCCGCCCCTCTAAGAGCCAGCAGCTAAATGGACTACAATTCCCTGCGTTCGTTGGGGGCATTCCACTCTTCCATCTAATTTACTGGAGTGCCGAATGGCATGCCGGGATTAGTAGTCATCCAGCGGGAAAGACTTCCCGCCAAAGGCATGCTGGGAGCTGTGGTCCGGTCAGGGCCGGAAACGGGAGTCCCGGGGCCGCTCGAGGCCAGCGGCCAAGAGACCGTTAGGGGAGGGTGCAAGCGTCGGCTCTGCCTCCTTTTTGTTCATATCGGAGCTGGCTGTCCTGCTCTAGCCTTGGCTGGTCGGGCAGGTTGACGGTCGCGGAAACTGGCACCCCTTGGTGGAAACTGCCAAGCACCGGTTTAATTCCCTCTTTTTCTCGTTTAGCGGTTTCGGTCTCTTTGAAATTCTTTCCTTCCTCCCCTTGTTTGCGGTCATGTTATGTATTCAGCAGCAGTAATGTGGGAAATTGCAGGCAGTTATCTGGATAAAATGATTTTTTTTTTTTTTTTTTTTTTTTTTTGCCTTAGTGATAGTCGCTGCCACGTCTCACGTGCCGCGGGGGTTCCAGACTCAGTGTTAGGTGGTCGCCGTGCAGCTTCTGATTCTCACGACACGGAGATTTTTGTGGAAGCAAAGGAACCCGGATAGGTTAAGTAATTTGCCCTAAGACGCACAGCTGGTAAATGGGGAATTAAGAGATTTAAATCCGGGTCTTTTCCCCAAAGGCAGCTGCTCTACACCCGCCAGTCGTGTAATAATAATGAGGTCCTAGTGATGATAGTGGTGATGCGGGAAGTGAGGGAGAAAGAGGCTCACGTTTGCCAAGTGTTTACTATGTGCAATTTTTCTGTTACATACTGCACCTGTGTCGTCAGTTTCTCACCAAGTCAACAGGTATTTGAGAACCTGTGGTTGTACCTGGCACTGTTCAGTAAAGTTCAGTACTGTTCAGGGTAGATACCGTGGGCCCCAAATAAAGTCCCTGCTCTTATGGAGCTTCCATTCTAGTGCCTAATCCTATGAGGGAGGTACTGTTCTCATTGTAAGATGAGGAAACAGTCTTGGAGAGGTTAATAGATTAACTTACCAAGATTGGACAATTTGGAAACTGAACCTGAACTCAGAGTCTATGCTCTTTCTGCTCTCCCAAGCTATATGTTAGAGAGTGGGTGAGTTTCCCAAGTAATTTTCAGTTCTATTCCAAGCAGCCTTTACCAAAAATCATCTTTGATGCCTCTTCTGCCCATGTCTACCTCCTGAGCTGTGCTGAAGAGGAACTAGAGGGGACAAAAATGTATTCATCTAATAATTACAAAATTGTATTTCCTCTATGTGTCAGATGCTGTGCTAGCTCTGGGATTTTGGAGATAAAAAGAAATATAGAATCTAAGCTCATGGAGCCTTTGGTCTTTCTGTGGATTATACTTTTCATGCGGCAGACATTTATTGAGCATATTTGTTGAGGCAGGCACTGGAGTAGGTGCTGTGTCCATAATAAACGAATTCACAAAGATTCTAATCTCTCTCTTGAAAAAGTCCACTTCTTAGAGAGGTCACGGTATAATAAGCTACATTCCTTAGGTAATAGTAATATCTTGCAATTGTTTTTTAACAGTTTACAAAAAACATTTTAATACACACTATCTTAATGGATCATTGAGGAAGGTATTGTTCCCATTTATAGATAAGAAAACAGGCTCCGATGAGCTAAGTAACAAGAGCTAGGGCTCAAACTGAGAGCTGTAAGGTAATGGTATTTGGGTGCCTACTCAGTGTCCAGTAGTGTATTCTGTGCCTTTTGGGTAACCATATATTTATTTTTGGAGCAAGGGCCCCAGGACAGGACACTAACCAGCATAAAGTATCTGAGTTGAGATGTTTCTTTTACAGAATTTTTAAAAGACTTTATTTATTTGAGAGCAAGAGAGAGAGAGCATGAGCTCTGGAGAGGGGCAGAGGGAGAGGGAGAAACACACTCCCTGCTGAGCAGGCAGCCCGATGTGGAGCTTGATCCCAGGACCCCGAGATCATGACCTGAGCCACCCAGGTGCCCCAAGATGTTTTCTTTTAAAGAGGGTCTTACACAGGTGTTTGTAATGTCTGTTTACCAGAAATAGGCTTATGTTTTGAGGCTCTAACCCTGTACTTCTAAAAAGAAATTTAAAAAATGTGAAACCACATCAATTAACTACTTGGGAAATTGCACTTTAGTAATTTTAATTAAGCACTAATATTCTGATTTTATAAATCAAAAGGATCTTTGACTCTAATTCAAGTCATCCTTTGACCACTGACGAGACTCTGGTCCCAGAAAAATTAAGTGACTTGTCCAAAGTCAATAGTTAAAAGCAGACTCTGGGACTAGAGCCTAGACTAGCTAAATCCTGGTCACTACATCACTTTACCTCCCTGAATATTTAGTTATGTGATACTTTCAGTGACTAGAACTTCTAGTCCAGCACTAACTCCAGTTCCTGTTGATTCTTGGGTGGCATGGTACTGAGGAATTAGGATTTAGAGCCCAGGTAATCAAAGCAACACATAATTATTCACAAGTCATCGCTCTGAAGGATAGTAATATAAGAATTCTACACATATGTACACACTGTGCTTTACTATTCTCAGATATCTCCACATAGATCATCTGATTTAATCCTTCTAATAACTGAAAAATGCAAGGTCAATAGGACAGGCACTATCTTCCTTTTTATAGAGAAAAGGGAAGTTCAGGGTGTTGATTAGCTTGCTCACAAGCAATAAGTCTGCTAATAAGTGGTATAGTTGAGGGCTAGAAGTGCACTGGGCTCTGATAGCATAAAATGTTATGGATCGGGGCCAATGAAAAACCTGCAAATAAATACTAGTCATTTCTTTTGGACTTTGATATATCCCACTGTGGCATTTCCTCTGCTGTGACAATGGGCTAGATGGAATGTGCCAGATTGGTCTTTAAGGAGTACCTGGTGCTAACAGCTTTTAAAATCCAAATCTTACACACACACACACACACACACACACACACACTCACAAATTTTTATACGTTTTCTATAGAAGAAAGCAGAAATTTAAAAACTGAACAGTTTGGTTTACTCGCTACAGCTCCTGAACCGGAGTTCAGAGAATTCCATGAATTCAGGGCATGACCTGTCCCTCAACAATCACCTTGACACTGTCAGGCTACTCTTTCAATCTTTAAGTCACAGAATCTTCAGCTGTAAAATAAAGGGGTTGGTCCAGATAGTATCTTAGTTCTCAGTTCTAAAATTCTGTGATTCTAAGAACAACAAAACCGTATTTGATCATGCTCATTCTTTAGAAAAGTCTATTAATAAGGGTGAGGTTATATAAACACATGATCAAATACCAATGTGGTGCATGCAAATCATTGCTTGGGCTACCTGCACAGATTCTGATTCAGTTGATCTGTGGTGAAGTCTTGGTAGCTATAAATGCTTCTGAGTTGACTTGAGTGAGCAGCCAGGGTTGAGAACCAAAGGACCAATATTTTGATACTGTATCAATCACTGAACTAGTTTTTTGATAGACTGTCAAACTCATGTGCATGTGACTTGCTGGTCTTTGAGAATTCAGAATAACCTAGCAGATGAAAGTGATTTTTATTTCATTTTCTACCAATAATCTCCCTTTTGTAGCGAAGTTAACATGGTTTGTTCCTTTAACAAATATTTGGTGCTTATTAGAGCACAGCATTGTCCTAGGCACCATAAAAAAATAAAAGTGAGTAGAAACCATTTATCTTGTCCTTTGGGGATCTAAGAAAAAGCCAGGCAACAAATGAATCTTTTCTGGTAGGGAGGAAAGAATTGAACATAAGTACTGTGCAAATCAAAGCAAGATAAACATTGATGGGAAGACAAGGAAGCAGAGAAGCCTTCTCGGAGAAGGTGAATTATAAGGAGAGAACAGTGGAGAGAGCTTGGAGGCCAGCAGATTTGGGGGTAGGCGAATGACATGAGAGGAGTTCAGGAAACCAAAATTAACGAGACACTTGAGAAATACCAACCTGGTTAAACTTGAAAGCCAGCAGTAGAGATTTCTTAGAGCTCCGTTGGTCAGTGGGATAAGTAAAAGTTAAATCTGAGAGACATTTCATAATCAATGATGACTCCATAGCGAACCAGTCCAACTTCGGTTTATGGCATGTTACGTTCCTGAAAACATTCTCTTACCATGCCTTATGACGTAAAGTTAAATAGCACTGGGAGACAGGAGAGGGTCTGTTGCCTGCTGGTGTCAGATCCTTGTACACATTATTTTAATTTCTCAGGGTCTCATTTATAAAATTAGAGTTGGACTGGATGACTTCGAAGTTTTTTTTTTTTAAACTCCTAAAAATCTATGATTACTTGATCCAGCCTTTCAGCACCTTTATTTGGTTCCTCAGGCATATTCCCAGTATTTTTTAATTGCTAAAATTGAACCCATGCTGCTAGTCCTTGGCAGATGTACCTATCGTTGTTTAATATTGACTGTCCACAGTGGGACTCTCAAATTAAGCACACAAAATGGGCTCTGCCCTTTAGGAGTTTTTATTTATTCAAGAACTGGAATGTGGGTCAGACCTATTTGCATCTCGCTGGCTTGGAATCCCATCCAAACACCTCTTGGGAAAACCCAGCGCTTTGGGTGGCAATGCTGTAATGTGGCAAAAGGCCCCGGGACCGGGGATTGGAAAACCTGGGTTTGAGTCCCAATTCTCTGTGTGTGTCTCAGAAGCCAATCATGTGTCAAATTCTTTAAAACCCCTTCTGACAACCAATTTTTTTGTATCTAACAGGAAAACTTGAAAGCCGAAAGACTAGTTTGAATTTTAACTCTGTCCCTGGGTGTTCGAGGATAAGTCACTCACCCTCTTTGAACATTGATTTTCTCAACTGTAATGAGCATTATGAAACTTACTTTGGAGGGTTACAAGAAGTGGCCGTCAAAGTGGCCAGCACAGCAGCCCTGGGGCGGAGTAGCCCCTAAAATGTTA